GCCACTAACTGCATCCAAATGTCTGTGTTCTGATGTCATGGAGAGAAAAAGGGAGAGAGAGAGAGTTGGGTGTTGGGGAAGAGAGGGGGGGGTGTATGGGGGCGGGGGTTCATGGGGAATTGAAATTAATGAGAGTAATCAGTGGCAAACAGCGAAGGAGGCAAGGGCAATTAATATAAACAGGCTACCAGCAGGCCGGAGATCAGTATTAAGATGCAGCATGGCCTCAGCGTGCAGCAGATGTCCTGGAAGAGCCAGAGGACAGCAGCACAGACAGCCAGCCAAAGCCAACCTGACAGTCTGCTGGCATTCCCAGATAACGTGATCATTTCCCCATCAGCAGCCACACTCTCAAGCCTCTTTAACACATGCTGCTAGCTTCTCACCCTCATAATTGAGAACTTTAAGAAGCTACTTTGTGAATTTCCTTCAAAAGGACACCCGACAGACCTTTTATTTTTTTTAGTTTGCATAGCATTGCACTGATTCATTGTTGATGAAATACAGATTTTGCTGAAAGATAAGTTAAGTTCCTTTATTTTTCAGATGTATTCATTATTCATTTGTTAATTTAACTTTTTGTAAATTGAATAGTGTAGCAATTGAATGTTACAATTTATTTATGATCACATGTAATAAATGTTAAATGACAAAAAAAAAAAAAAAAAAACATACTCCTCATAAAGAACCTGTTTCGAGTTAAAAAAAAACAACAAAAAAAAAAACACATATTGACATATTTGTAGATATACAAATCTAATGTAGGACATATTTACTAAAGTGTCCTATAAGATGTTCACTAATTACCATAAACAATGTTAGACTTTTTCATTCATTTTCTTTTTGGCTTAGTCCCTTTATTAATCAGGGGTTGTCACAGCAGAATGAACCACCTACTTACCCATGTTTTACGCAGCGGATAGTTTTCAAGCCGCAACCCAATAATGGGAAACACCCATAGACTCTTGCATTCACACACATACACTACAGCCAATTTAGCTTATTCAATTCACCTAGTGCATGTTTTTGGACTGTGGGGGAAACCAGAGCACACAGAGAAAACCCACCTGAACACAGGGAGAACATGCAAAATCCAAAATGTAAATGCCTTATAATTGACAATTTAGGGGTTAGCATCAAGTGAACAATAAATGTTTGCAATCTTATCTAAAAAATAAATTACTGTAAACTTAAATATTGCCAAATAACACAAGTGTCAGAATAGAATTAGAAATAAATGTAATTAAATCAAATTGGATAAAACAACAACCCAACCCAACAGTCAACTTTATCAAATGAAATGTGTAGTTAACTCAAAATTTACTGAAAGTTAATTCTAATAATTTGAAAAGAGTTTTGAACTCAGTGTTCAAGGTTAGTTAATTAAATACCTCATTACTTTAATCTAAATTGAGTAAGTTCACAATACCAATACAGATTTAGTTTTTTTTTTTTTACTTGAATGGTTTATAGCAATCGTTTTCCTCAAACGGTTTGAGTTGCCTTAACTTATTGGGTTTTACAGTACTTAGTTGGTTTGAGTTCACTTCATTTCTTGAATTTTAATGTGCTCAAATTGCTTCCTTTACTCAAATAGATTAATTTCACAGTACTCATTAGGATTAGTTTTTGAACTTAAATAATTTGTTGCAATCGGTTTCCTCAAATGGTTTACCTTAACTCTTTGGGGTTTACAGTGTAGTCCTGGAATCGAGTTTGAGATCTATGTCTTAGAGCAGTGGTTCTCCAACTTTTTTCACCAAGTACCACCTTAGAAAAAAACTGTCTCTCCAAGTACTACCATAATGAACAGTATTGAATAAAAGTAGCGTTGTAGGACTAATTATGCAGCTACAGCTGTGCAAAAAAAAAAAAAAACGAGGCAGATTAATTCCTATTATTAAGACTATGTATTACTCTCAACCACTTTGAATATTATAAATAATTTGAACATTAACTGTGCTTGCAGGTAAAAACAAACAAACAAACAAACAAACAAAATAATGTGTAAATTAAAATCTGATTTTTAAAGTTAAAATGGCACTGTTCTTAAAAAGTAAAAAAAGAAAACTGCTCTACTTAAATCTAAAGTATTAACATAGTAGCCTATATTCATTAAAACCAGGAAATGTTTTTTGGATCTCATAAATATACGCTATATATATATATATATATATATATATATATATATATATATATATATATATATATATATATATATATATATATATATATATATATATATATTTTTTTTTTTTTTTTTTTTTTTTTTTTTTCTGACAAATTTTGAAATATACAGTACGTTGCATGTACATATGATAGTGTTCATACACTCACAGCCTAATGAAAATCAAGGACTTTTAAGCAGTTTTTCCAGCACCTATTTTTATTTTCAAGAATGACATGCATCGTATGGAACAACTATGTATTCTTAGCAACATTGCATGGGAATTTACATTTACACTGCTAAAATAATACAAATTTTAGTAAATAATACTAATATTAGGTAAAAGTACAAAATACTTTTACAAAAAGTACTAGTTAGTTACTTTTGAAACAAAAAATCAGATTTTTATAATGAAATCACTTTTTTAAGTGTAAACCTGTTTGAATGGTTTAATTGCTTAAATCACAAAGCTACATGTATAGGAATTTGCACTAACAAAGGAAGTATGGTCATTTTTTCTTTTCATGAAAATTCATCTTTTTCAATAGCACTGGCGAAACTACCTCATACTCCATAAGGCCATAGAGACATTTTTATACCGCATTTTTGTCCATTTTTTAAACAATATGTTCAAGTTTTAAAAGGTTTAATTAAAGCATATGATGAAAAAATTAAAATTTTGCCTTATTTACATATTTTACACTATATTTCTTTACAATATGGCAAATTTGTTTCATAAATAGCTGTACATCACATGGAAATTTTATTTTACACTAGATCTAAACTAAAGTAATTTTACAAAAAAGACAAGTACACTGTCAGTAACAAAATAATAAAACAAATGACTTTGTTAAACTTGAGGTGTTTGAAATACGACAACATTTATCTAAGCAGTGTTTTAAAAGTTTTATTGTTTATTTTGATAAATAAACAATAACAACAGATTGCTTTGACCTGTAATGCCTGCACAATTTAATGATGCTTTAAGACAGAAAATCAGGAAATCAGAAATCAGGATAGCGATATTAAATCACACAAATACCTCAACAGAAACATTTCTAACATAATTTTTTTGTTATAAAGAAATTAAAAAAAAAAAAAAATCCACCTTTGCTAAAAGTAGTTTCACTTCACCATACAGCCAAATAAGAAGTCCGTTAGCATTGTCATCTGTCATGCATTGACCTAATTCTAAATACTTGATCGTTTTTGACAAAATTTAGTCAAGGAGCAACGATAAATCATTCCTACTTTAATAGCGAAGAGATCGTGATTGTATACAGTCTGAACACACATGTGATGATTAGAGGACTTGCAGTTCATTTAAAAAAGCTTATTTAAGAGCTCGCAAATCAGTTTTTGCGACTAACGTACATGACTGCGCTCTCGTGTTAAAATAAAGCACTCGTAACATTTGCAGAAATGAGTAATTGTGCAATACCTGCATTCCCGCGCCACCATTCAGCCTGTATTAGAAAAGTGACAGGTCAGATGCAAGTATTGATCGAGAACGAAGGAAAACTAAACACCATTTTAATGTTTTGGGGAAATGTTGATGTAGTTTAACAACTACAATATTACATTTTATTTTAGGGCCCACTCACACTGTGCTATCTGAACCATGCCCAGGCCCGTTTCCCGGATCGTTTGAGAAGTGTGAGTGCTCTGAATCGGGCTCAGGCGTGGTTCTTTTGGCCAGCACTGGGCCTGCAGGAAGAGGTGAGCCAGAGCATGGTTCACTAGGGCTTTAGTAGGAGTGCAAAGCGCGCCAGAGACCAAAACTGAAGACAAGATGTGACTTTTAAGGGACTGTTTCATATGTTTATTAATCATTCTTACTGTTCAGTGAACACAAACTGTCATAGATTATAAAAGACACAAACCCCTCACTGCACGGCAGCTACATCTTTAGCAAACCTCCTAATTCCTGCAGCACGAGAACTTAATAATTGTTTAAGAGCATCAAAAGTGGCTTATCTGTTCGGAGAAATATTTGACTGCATGTCACTGCATCCCAAGCAACTAAAAAATATAACTGAAGAAATCTCCACTGTGATGAGCGAGAGCGCTTCCTGAACAGCGCATCGATGACGTAAACGTGCCCAGGCCTGAATGTAATGTAAGTGCGGGGCGGGCCATCGAAGGAGACGGGAGGGGGGACAAGCGTGTTTTGGCCCAGTTCAAGGCAAATGTACATAGTGTGAGTAAGCATTTATTGCTAGAAAATAAAATGTATTAAATCTTTGTTACATTCAGGATTATATTTAAAGGAGATCAATGGTAATGTAATGCAATTAATTTAAATGAAATCAATTTAATTTTACTTTCAAATATAGTTACAGGCCATAAATTTGACAGTATTTGTAGAAAGCGCCTTATAGTACTGTACATGCTCACTAATCACCACTGAGAAGAACTTTTTTTAACTGCTTGGAAAACTAGAACTGTAAAAGAAATCCTTTTTAAACTTCAGAAAACTAAATTAAAAATGATGACCAAAGCCAAATAAACTCATTCACGTTCTAATAAATCAGCCTGTACTTCATAGGAGGGAGTTTGTTTTGATCACAGTTGCTGCAGAGGGCAGCTTCCACAGAATAATGTAAGTGTGCTCAGATGTTATAGAGTGAGCAGAGGGCAGAAAATAAATGGTGATCATGTCTTTAGGTTCTGTCCTTCCCACATGAATAAACACGACACAATACACTGAAGCAATTTAGCTTGCCCCGTTTACCTTGCAGTTCTTATGAATGAAGGTCTCTCAGACTTATTTAATTAAGCAATTGATTTGTCTGGGCTGTCAAAGGATTAATAGATGGACTACTTTGTTCAAGAAGTATATTTATTCAATTTATGTATTTATTTTACTAAGGACACTGTCACCCACATCAATAAATATCGGTCCCTTTGAATATACTTTTCCATAGCATTCAAAAGCAATCATTTAGGAAATCACAATACAGTCAGGATGTGATTAATTTACCAGCAAATGATCAGCAATAAATTTTAAATTTTGCACTTTGGTACAAGAACAGCACTATAAAACATTGGGGTTGTATAAAACAAATTGATTTCTTTAAATAATTGCTTTGCCACTTGAATTTGACACAAATGATGGTGCAACTGTGCCCCCATGTGGACATTTCATAGATTTTTTGTGGCAAAAAGTCCAACTGCTGTAACAATTTGATATAGATTGTGTTTAATGTCAAATTAACAGAGCTAATTGTTTTAAAAGTTAAAAGTTTAACTGTTTGTTTTATATTCACCTTATCATTTAAGCTCCATTGTATATTTTAACTTGTCACATTTTAGCAGAAAAAAAGCCAACACTATGAAACAGACTCATAGATAAATGTCTGGAGAACCAATTTAATGATAACCATCCAATCTGATTATGCCTAAAAATGCTACAAACAAAATAATTTTTTAAGCTTAAAAGCAATAATTTAAAAGTATCAATCAAAAGAAACAACTGACTTCCCAATTAAAAAGTTCATTGGTTACCATTAAAAAACATATCTGAGAGGTTTACCAATAAGATGTTAACATGTACTTTATAAGAAACACACTTCCCCATTGAAGACAATGATCCGCAGACGCCAGTGAACTGTATTTTTGAACCTGCACGTCATAACTGTGAGTTCGGCCAAACCACTTATTAAAAAAGAAAGAGGCTATAAAGACATAAGGCGGAGAGCTTGTTATTTTTCTTTCGGGGAGGTGAACAGGAAAAAGATCAATGATTGTGGTGGCGTCTTTTGCCACCACTATGGCACTCTGTGGCATTAAAAAACAGCTCAAGTAAAGATATTATCGAAGCGACAAGCTTTGAAGCAAATGCCAAAAATAATTTCCCATATATAACATTCCCCACTGAAACCACACATTGCTGTGGTACCAAACACCCCTCCCAGCTCAGCTCATATTCGCTTACATATTCCTCCAGAGAGAAGTGCAGCTACATCAACTGCCCAATTAGGGCCTGATGAGTCAAAAAACTCTCAAAGACCAAAAATGGTACCTTATTCCCATAAGAAGCGAAAAGTCTAAAACACTCCTTCTACAATAAAGCTACAGAGCTGATGGTCATGAGGCTTATATTATGAGAATTTAACACCACTTGTTTCTAAAACTGTTAAAATAATTGGGAGGTACATCAACCACATGTAATAAAAAACTAATAAGGATCTCAATATAATTAAGCTAAATCTGAATAAAATAAAATGGCAATCTTGTATCTTTAACATACAATCTAAAATAATTAAAGTTCAATTCTTTTAGTCCCCCCTACTAAATAAACATAAAATATTTTGTTTGGCCAAAAATAAAATGCCAACTTCCAGAAAAATAAAAAAATTATTATAATAATATTTCTGTAGAATAAAGAAAACTTTTTATTAATTAAGCTGAAGTTTGCTAGATGTTAAACTTATTGAAAGCTGTCTTTTAGGTCAACTAAAAATGTAAGATTTTAAAATCCTAACTATATTTATAACTAGATAAACGTTTTATAGACACACACATATATATATATATATATATATATATATATATATATATATATCCCACAACAAAGCCCTTTTCATGGAACAGTAAATCATCCTTGTTTCTGAAAATCAAATCTTACATAATGGACTAATTGTAGATTTCTGACTCTTAATTGCAAAGACTCAGCAATTCTTTCATGTCATATGTGACAACTGGTAACTGTCTGTCTGCAACAGCACTTTGTGCTTCAATTTTTATATTTACTAGCTTAATTTTCCAGAAATTATTGTCCATTGGTGAGCGAATGAGCCCAAACACTTGCTCAAAAATCCCAAGGCAGGTATTGTCACGGTGGATAGTCCCTGCTACGGCCACTAATACCAGTCCATGAGGGGAGGACATACACTTTAACCCATGACCTTCCAGGTTTGGACAGAATAATAGACGTTCTTCTTCTGCAAGAGCTTGAAGCCGCTTGCTGACAAGTTCTGCCCCACTGAACTCATCAACACGCTGCTCTCCGGTGCACAAGAGAAGCCGAAGGCTCACATTCTCCCAGAAATGTTGAGGTCCCCAGTCCTGCACCGGATGTCCTTGACTGGGGTTCTGAGAGTTCAAAAGGCAGAAGAACCACTGGCAAAACTGTTTTCCCAATGCTGCAAGGTCTGATAGACCATCTCCAACCTCATAGGAATTGTTTGTATTCCTCTCAGGCTTTGATATCTGGTTAAAAAAAATGCAATGTCAAAAATATAACCCAGAAAATGTACATTTTATAAATCAAAATCAACACAGGTGTGTCTGTGCATGTGTGTCTAGCCTACATACAGTTTAAGTCAAAATTATTAGCCTTCCTGTGAAATTTGTATTCTATTATAGATATTTCCTATGTGAAGCCTAAAAGACCATATATGTTTTCACAGTATTTCCTATAAGACTTTTTTTCTTTAGGTTATTTTAGCTTATTTTAGTTTGGCTGGAATGATTAAAACAATTTAAAGGTCTACAGTGTCTACAGAACAAACCACTGTTATCCAATAACTTGCCTAATTAACCTAACTTCCCCAGGTAACATAATAATCTAGCTTTAAATTGCACTTTAAGCTGAATACCAGTATCTTGCCAAATAAGTTAAAAAATGTCTTACCATGTTACCATGGCAAAGACAAAATAAATTAGTAATTAGAAATTAGTTATTAAAACAATTATGTTTAAACATTTGGAAATCTCTCTGTTAAGCAACACTCTAGAAATATTTTTAAAAGAATTACAATTTCACAGGAGGATTACTAATATTTACTTCAACTGTATATAAAATGCAGATTACCAAATGTTAAAATTCATTTGACAATTAAAACATGCTTTTAAGAAATAACATTACCCAAGCCTATTGTCTTCAGAAAGTGAATAATATGCTAAAAAAGTTTTATTTTAGTGAATAACAGCCTGTTAGACAAGGTCAAATTAGATTGGTGTTTAAATGTGCTCTCCCATCAGACTGCAAAGGAGTTTCAATCATTGAAAGGAAGATTGCAGCTTTACTATGATTATTTTATATATTTTTTCACTTTTAGAAAAAGTTGTAATGGTTAGTCACAGGATTATGCAGACATAAATTACTTCTGGTCGGGTTTTTGTCTGGTTTCTGCGTTTAATGGGCCTGCTCCATTTTAGCAGTAAAAACTTCTGAAATGATGTACAAATCTGATGATCTAAGACCCATTTATCAGCCTGTTTTTTTTTTTTTTAAGTTTTCTAATATGTAGGTCTTTTTATGGCTTTTACGTTTATATATATATATATATATATATATATATATATATATATATATATATATATATATATATATATATATATATATATATATTGTCAAAAATAAAGGGAACACTAAAACAACACAATATATCTTCAAGTCAAATCACATTTCTGTGAAATCAAACAGCCCACTTAGGAGGCAACACTGAATTTCACATGCAACAATCAATTTCACATGCTGATGGGCAAATGGAATAGAAAACATTATTAACATCATTAAATTATAGGCAATTAGCAAGACACCCCCAATAAAAAAGTTGTTTTGCAGGTGGTGACCTCAGACTAGTGGTGGGCAGAGCTAGGGGTCATGAAACACTGAAACAGTCGATACAAATGTGTTGAAGCTTTAAAACCGGCCCCTACAGTGACGCCTAGTGGTCATTGTTTAATGTAAAACAGTTAAACAAGTTGAGAAAGTATACCCCACATTGTAGAGTACATAGCGTTAGCGTTTCAAGTGATTTAGTGAAGTGGTGAGAGTTCCTGATTAGCATGCAGACGTAATAAGTTTGAATTCAGAGTGATGCAGTTATGGACTTTAGTTTTTAAATGTTTTGTTTTTGTAAAGTGTTTTGTTTTAACATTGGTCTGACATCCGAACGAACACTTTGTGAATAAATATGTCTTGTTTTGGTCATAACAAATTACATTAATTAATTGCATCAAGTCATAATTTCAAACTCATGACATTTGCTGTACAGTTACTCTGTGCACAAGCACCGTCCACTAAGCTACAAAATATTGAGTATTTTTCCACCCCAGTCAATCAAACACAGATTTGCAAGGTATCGAAATGCTTCTTTAATGATTAATGTTTTGAATTGCTTTAGTCATGTGACCAGGGGCCTCATGTATCAACGCTGCATATGCACAAAAATTTTGCATATGCCAGGTTTCATGCTTTACTAACGATGAAATTAACGTGAGAATGTGAGTTGGTGTGTATTTCTTGTGTGCATTTGTTTTTGTTTTTTTTCATTGGTGACTCCTAGAGGCAATTATGTTAAATTGCACAATACATAAGTACTGCACCAACACATGAAAAACTTAAACTTAAAATTAAAATTGATAAAATGGGTTAATTGACACATTTTATTTTACCAATTATTTTATTTAGAACATATAAAAGCATTTGCAAATGTATAATAATATGTAATATTGTGGCAAGGTGGCATTGGTCAACCCATGATTCATACTTCTTGGTGAGCGATGTATTTAGAATATAATTCCACTATATTAGTTATTATTTTATTTCATTTTATTGAGCATAATTATTATCAGGAGACTGCGGTTATCCATTAAAGACGTGGCTGTTAACCCCCCTCAACAAACCACAAAACTGACCAAGAGCGCAGATACAATGATGCCCATTCTCACACTCGGCCAGTTGAAGAGCTGCACTGCAAAAAAAATGCATTTCTTACTTAGATTTTTTGTCTTGTTTCTAGTCCAAATATCTAAAAACTCTTAAATTAAGCAGAATTTTCTAGTCATGCAAAACATACTGTCTTGTTTTAAGATATAATATGCCAAAATTAAGTGACTTTTTCCTTAAAACAAGTTAAATAATTTGCCAATGGGGTAAGCAAAATAAGCTTATCTCAAAAGGAAAAACAAGATTAAAACAAGGTTTTGTGCTCATGTACGGGCACTCAATTTCATGTTAAATCGGATGTACAAAAATAATATGCGTGGGATTTCGCGTACACAGTGTTTCATACGCATCGATGGATTTGCTCCTCAGTGTTTAGACTCTTAACCCACTTTGAACTTAACCCACACTGAACTGAACTAAACTGAATTTAAACTCTGAAAACTGAATCGACACAGTATTAATTTACTGTATTGTTCTATGTTAAGCTGCTTTGACAAAATCTACATTGTAAAAACGCTGTAGAATGTAGAGGAGGCAATAGGAGTGCAACAACCCAGCAGCAAGACTACTACCTATGTCTTTGTTCAAGGAGGAAAAAGAGGATCACTGCCAGAATCCCGCAAAATGATCTCCAGCAGGCCACAAATGTGCATGTGTCTGCTTTAACAGTCATAAACAGACTTCGTGAGGCTGATATGAGGCCCAACGTCCACAGGTTGTGGTTACACTCCAAAGTCATGCAGGACATTTGGCATTTGTCAGAAAATACCAAGATTGGCAAATTCGCCACTTACGCCCTGTCCTCTTCAAAGATAAAAGAAGGTTCACACTGAGCACATGTGACTGGCGAGTGAGTCTTGAGACGCTGGGAAGAATGTTCTGCTGCCGTCACTGTCCTCCAGACTGACTGATTTGGCAGTGGGTCAGTAACGGTGTACGGTAGCATTTCTTAGGAGGGCTGAACAGACCCCTTGTGAGATCATAACCCAGTGCGGTTGGCTTTGGGTTCTTCTTAATGCAAGACAATGCTAGACCTCATGTGGCTGAAGTGTGTCAGCAATTCCTGCAAGACGAAGACATTAAAGCAATGGACTGGTCCAACCATTCCCCAGATCTGAAACCAATTGAGCACATATGGGATATCACGTCTCGATTCATCCACCAACGCCACAACGCACCACAGACTTGGCAAGAGTTGGCAAGATGTTTAATTCCAGGTCTGGGAGGAGTTCCCCCAGAAGTCCATTCCCCACCTCACCAGTAGCATGCCCAGGCACTGAAAGGGAGGTCATACAGGCACATGGAGGCCACTAAAACTACTAAGCCTTAGTTTAACTTGTAGGACAAAACATTAAAATTGAATCAGCTTGTAATCTGTTTTTCCACTTTAGTTTTAAATGCGACACCAAATTCAGACCCCCATGGGTTAATAAATTTGACTTCCATTGATAACTGTAGTCAGTACATTCAAATATGTACAGAACAAAGTATTTAATATATTCCAAAGTATATTCCATTTATTCAGATCTAGGATGGGTGATTTTAGTGTTCCCTTTATGTTTTAGCAGTGTGTGTTTGTGTGTGTGTGTGTGTGTGTGTGTGCATATATATATATATATATATATATATATATATATATATATATATATATATATATATATATATATATATATATGTGTGTGTGTGTGTGGTTGGACAATTAAACTGAAACACTGGACAAAAGATCTTTTTACAATGACGTCAACTTTCCGTAACGCTGTGTATTAGTAGCTCCGTTTTACATTTTAACTGAAAATATTAACATTGCATGTTGTGATTTAAGACTATTACATTATTGTTCATGAGTTCAAATGTTTCTCTTTCAATACTGAACTGCTTTCTGAGTTTAAATATAATTATGTTTAAGTTATTAAGAATGGGAGTACAGTATTTTTTATTAAGTATATTTTTGCAAAGTTTTCACTTGTAGATTTAGTTTATTTCTACAATAATTTTACTTTGACAAACTCTGCCAAGTACATACAAAATTCATTTGCAATACAGACAGCAACACAAAGCAATATGGTCCATTTAAAGTTATTTTCTTCATTCTGGAGGACCATGTGCATCCAATGGTTGAAACATTGTATTCATAAGGCAGTGTCATGTATCGGAATAATAATGGAACAATATACCAAGTAAGGCATGAGATTGAACATCTCCCATTACCTGCAGTCACCAGATATAAATATTATTGAGCCACTTTGGGGTGTTTTTAAAAGAGTGAGTCTGGAAACGTTTTTCGCCCCCACATAATGACCTGGCCACTATTCTGCAAGAAGGATGGCTCAACATCCCTCTGGCTACTGTGCAGGACTTGTGTCATTCCTAGGATGGATTGTTGCTGTAGAGGCCACAAAAGAAGGCCCTAGTCTATGCTAATGAATTATTGTGGTCTAAAACCAGACGTTTCAGTTTCATTGTTTCCAACCCCTGTATGTATGTATGTATATATATTTTATTTATTTATTTATTGGTTAATTGATTAATTGACTGACTGAGTCTTAAGCCTGTTAGTTACTAAAACGATAAATCACTTTTATTAATGTGTAGGTTTTGAAAAATCATGAAAGTGACTGAAAACACTTTTACAGTTTTAATTAAACTGATTAAATGTTAGTTATTTGGTTACATTTTAATAAATAAATTTCATTATTTAATGTTAAATAAGTTGCTTGCTACACTGAATAATGCTCCATTAAAACCGTAACTGGGCTATGTAAATATCTAGCTATTCAGCACCAATTTTATATTTGTGGAATAAAATTCTTAAGCTATAGTAAAATCAAATAAACAAATAATACAATCACATAAAGAATAATAATTGCATACGGCAGTTAAATCATCTTAAGATGTTCTTTAGAAATAGATATTACAATGATACCTACCTCACCAGAAGACCAAAACTCAATGGTCTTCCTGATCAACTGATGTTTCTCTGTATTAGGGGCCATGACAACTCCTTCATTGGCAAGATACTTAAAAATGACATCACGATGCATTTTCTTTCTCTTGAGGAGCTCCTCCGCATCTTGTGAGTACGCTATTATAGCTTCAATGGCCTCTGTTGATCAATAAATAGACAAATACACATCTCATGACAACTTTTATTATACCCTGACATAATACAGAAGTCAAACTTAAAATACCGTTTCTAACAATCACAAACCCCCGGTGTTTACAGATCAGTTTGGAAAATGAATAACATTAGCCTCGCTATCGTCCTACCTTCGGAGCTCTCTACAGCAATCAATCGGTTTGTTACTGTATCTTTCAACGCGAACAAGTCGTCCAGGGGTAATAAGGCTATCAGTTTTCTACATTCAATCTGCTCTTTTGTTGACAACTTTGACATACTTGCACCATGATTTGCACAAGTTACGAATCTTACATGAACGAGACTAAACTAGCGTTATGTAAAAGTAGAACAAGAAGTTGCTTCCGATATTGGAGCTCACTACAGCGCCCTCATAGGCACGGATATTGGTGGTACGTAATATTTTGTACCAAAATAAAAGTTCAAATGAATTGCGAATTTTAAGAAAAAAGTGAATGAATTATTTATTTATTTATTTATTTATTTATTTATTTATTTATTTATTTATTTATTTATTTATTTATTTATTTATTTTAGTTTTACTAATTCATAGATACCTGTCTATGGATACCTATAACCTGTGCATACAAATAGTTGGCTATATTTTTGCGTTTATTTTGGGGATAAAAAGCAGTCAACATATTTGAGAGGTTTCCGCACTCACTAATTAATTTAATTCTAAGCTCTAATTTACAAAAACTGGGATAATGTATTTTAAATATTTATGTAAAGCATTCAAAAGAGAACACTGAACCCTGCTCTTGGGCATTATAAGATTCAGAACAAGTGTAAGACAAACTTCATTTATTATTGTACTCAGTAGGACAATTGTTAAGAGGTTGATGTTCCAAATGTAGAAAACTGAGTTAGTGCCATAAAAGCTCTGAAAAAATTATTGTATATTTGCTCTTATTTAGGCTTTTTCACTTGTAACTGAAGATGATCAATCTACCACAGGCACAAATCACAGTACTACAGTTGTTTTTAAGTTAATTCTGCGCTTCTATAACTGGCTGGTTCGGATCAGCCTACAAATCGTACATTAGAAGGCTGATAATGTATACATACTTGTTGCTGTGGAGTATGCTAATATCTATGTGAGCTTTAATGTTTACTGATATTAAACTGTTGTCTAAAATTCCACAGGATGGTTATTTATTCATTTAATAACAGGATAACTTTAAGACTATATTGTCTTTATATGTACTCATTCCTTTTCTGTTCTGCTTTATTTGTGTTGTTTGTGAAGCATTCATTCATTTGTTTTCTTTTTGGCTTAGTCCCTTTATTAATCTGGGGTCACCACAGGGAATGAACCGCCAACTTATCCAGCATATGTTTTATGCAGCAAATGCCCATCACTGGGGAAACACACACACACATACACTACAAATAATTTAGCTTACCCAATTCATCAAAAGCGCATGTCTTTGGACTGTGGAGGAAACCGGAGCACGAGAAGAACATGCAAACTCCACACAGAAATGCCAACTGACCTAACCAAGGCTCGAATCAGCCATCTTCTTGCTGTGAGGTGATTGTGCTACCACTATGCCACTGTGGCTTCCTAAAAAAGTCATTCATTCTTTTTGGCTTAGTCCCTTTATTAATCTGGGGTTGCCACAGTGGAATGAACCACCAACTTATCCAGCACATGATTTATGCAGCGGATGCCCTTCCAGCTACAACTGATCTCTGGGAAACATCCATACACACTCATTCACACTCGTTCTCTACGGACAATTTAGCCTAACCAATTCACCTATACCACATGTCTTTGGGGAAACTGGAGCACCCTGAGGAAACCCTTGCAAATGCGGGGAGAACATGCAAACTCCATACAGGAGTGCCGAGGCTCGAACCAGTGACCTTCTTGCTGTGAGGTGACAGCACTACCTGCTGCGCTAACGCGTCGCCCTCCTTAACTAATATGTTTTATCAATAAATAAATATATGTAGATATGTTTTTCTTTTTCAAAACAGTTTAACAAAGGTATTTGTAGTATTACAAATGTAATCAACACAGAAATAATAAAATTGCATGCTGCGTTTTCAGGGTTAATGTTTTTTCATGCAATCATTTAGTTTGTTTGGTTTTATCTTTAGATTTTATTCAATTTAGATCACAGACAAAAAAGTATTTTAATAAATAATAACATATGGTGTGTCTGAACCAAGAGATTCTTTCTTTTTTTATCTGATCAATTTCTTTTGAGTTGTGAATAACCTAAAAATCTTTTGACAGTTTGAAACCTTTTATTCAGGTTTGGCAACAATAGTTTAAATATGTCCTCTATCTTTTCTGCAAATATATATTGCTGTCTCCATGTTTAATGAGAACTGTTTCTGACTTACTAAATTTCAAAAGATTGTTTTCTTGATTATTTTCTCAATTATATTTCTGCTTAGCTCATTTTTACTGTAAATTTTATAAGCATTTTTTGTTTACTTTTTAAACTATTTGTATCCTATTTGAATGACTACAAGAGGAAATTGTGTGACCACTGATTTAGAGATATAAAAGTTATTATTCAATTTATTGTTGACTATTAGGATGGTAGAAAAAAGAGACACTAAGATGTTTGTATAAATTAAACATTTTAAGCTTGCGTTTTTGAGGGTTAGACAAATAGGCATATCAGTTTTTTTTTTCAACATACTTTTTGTCACATATGTAGCCTACATAAAAATTTTACTTGAATTGTATATCAATCTTTGACATTCTAAAATAAGAAAACAAATAAAGGCCAATGAATTTAACCAGAACTTATACCTGTACAGAGTGCATTTCAATAGAATCTCCTAATTCAATGTGGGTAATGCAATTTAAAACATTAACGCACGATGGCACTATTACAATTATATTTGTGGTCACAAGAGTTGAGGCAGTTAGTTTGAAGGGACTGGACACGATGGGCGTTTTTCTGGGATAAGGTGATTATCGCTGTGGGACTGTAGTCACCACTCCCCATGTGCATGGAGCAGTAGTCAGTCTCGCTGTACGGTAGACGCGTCCCCACACTGCTCACGGGACGCACAGAGACAAAAGCGCCTAGTAGGGGATACCCGAACCACTCTCCCAATTGATCTAGATCGGTTTGCCCTCGGAAGTGGATTAAAAAGGACATTTTATTCAACGGCTGAGGCAAGTTTTGATTTCATTCATTTAATAGTTGAATCTTCTTTCCGGGTGAATGTTTGGGCTGCCAATTCGCCAATGGAGGGAAATCACAGTGCAGAAAACTTTTGTTTTGTTATGCATTTGGTTAACATTATTTTATTTACTTATAACAATGTGACTGGGAGTGTGAATTCTTTTTTATTTCAACGCGAACTTTCTCCCGGCAAATAACTGTATTGTTCCACAAAGGATGCGGGCGCATAAACGCAAATCGCGTACGGATGAAATGCCTTAACTTCGAATCAAAGCACAAGAAAACATATTTTAACCTATGTGTAAAGTTTGAAGTATCTGGAGTAACTTGGTGTGTAAATGGAAGGACTTGCGTCTCGATTTATAAGACTTTTCATGATTAGAACAATTGCCAAGCAACATAAACCAGAAACTTAAATGATGAAGCGTAGTCAGCAGCACAGTATTTGCATGCATGGTGGATGTAGCAGTACGCACACTTGGGCGTCTTATAGGTCTTAAAATTAAGCGGTAGAGACAAAGGAGCATCAAGTCTGCTAATTTGAGCTGGATCTAGCCCCAGCGTACTTAAGCCACTTTTCCACATTGCTCCCATGAAGTTGTCTGTGTCTTTAGGGCAAACGTCACCATTAGTATGGCTTCACTGCTATATGTTAGAAGTGTTAGAGCTGCAGTTGCTGACAATGTGCATATAAGTGTAGTGTCGTTTTTGTGACGCTGTACAACGTTAATGTTTTTTTCCATTAAAAGGGTTAGGTTTGGGATAAGTGTATACGTTAACAAAAACACAACACTTTACTGTGAGTTTAGGGTTATGGTAGGTGTCGACATTAATAGCACATCTTTGATGTTGGGGTAAGTGTACATATTAATAAAACACAATAGGTTAAACAACCAAACAAAATACCTCATCACAACCCACATTGAAAAATGTTATGGGTAATAATTGGTCTAATATATAAATAAAATTAAACATCAATTAAAAAAAAAAAAAAAAAAAAAAAAATATATATATATATATATATATATATATATATATATATATATATATATATATTTATATATATATATATATATCATGCCTTGTTAATAAATATTGTACATAGGCAAATAAATCATGTTGACATATTTGGCTCATTCTTGAATTTACATCCGGTCCAGTAGGTGGCGATAATGGTCCTAATGAGTTAGTTGCCATTGAACAAAAAAAAAGAAGACAACTGATCCATCATTGACCATACTGTTAAGCTGCGTCCCAAATCGCATACTTATGCACTATTCTACGCCATTTTGTAGTATAAATAGTGTAAGTAGTGTGTTCACACTGAAAACTCTTAAAATAATAAGTGCACTTTAATTACCCGGATGATGCACTCATTCAGTCGCTAAAATGAAGTGTGGAATGATGGACACTTCAAGCACTCAACGACCGCAGGTTTGCTTACGTAGCGGAAGGGGCGGAGCTATCGGACGCACATGTTGGATAACTTTATTTATTTTGGATGGAGAGAGCAAAATTCTCCTACTAGAGTGATTATATTGCCTCCCGATGGTGAATGCGGCAATACTCACGATAGGTATTATTTGATAATTTGGTCATTTATTTCAATGATTTGGCAACTGTCAAACGTCATCAGGGAAACGGTTTGAATTTCCGTTTAGTAAAAAAACATTAGTGTGCCATTTGGGACGACACTACATACATGTACTATCCTGTTGAGTGTGTAAGTGCATAAGTACATAGTGCATGAGTGCATAGTGTATAGTGTGCCATTTGGGACGCAGCTTTAGTCCCTGGCTGTTTCTCAATATGCGTTCTTTAGCGGTCTTGCATTCTCGTGTTCTCGTGCAACGTCATCCTCAGCTGCCTAAGTTCAGTTCCAATACTCACGGCTGCAAGTACGGAGGACGTGTGAAATTTCCCGGATGTGATCTTGATATCGAGAACGCACTGATGCGGACTTGAGCACCGAACTCGCTCTGGAAGTCCCAGAAGTCATTACAACTGGAGGTGGGAAGCGCAGTATTTTATTTATATTTATTATTAAAGTTCGGAGATATCACTTATATACCTCAGGAGTTTCCCTAAATGAAACGGTGAAAGTAAACATTACATGAATATCTTAATAAAGGAATAAACACATTAAGGGTGTTTGTTTGATGAAATTCGTATTCATATTTGTTTTATTTATACTGTGCAGAGTATATTTATAATGTTTTTATGCAAAGTATATATTTTATATATATATATATTATGTATATATATTATGTATATATTTTGAAGAGGGGGGAAACAATAAATTGTTGTATGAGTGCTGTAATGTTTAAATAATTTCCATTTAAAACGCGTGAAGGTCACATGACCATCAGGAAGAACGCAGCACCCCATTTCTCAAAGGACGCATTCTCTGCCCTCGCGGTCTCCTGAGTTCGTTCTTCCGAGGACACCTGGCAAGACCGGTCTCCACAAGAATGCAAGTCCGTTCTCTGCGTTCTTGGAATTGAGAAACAGCCCCTGCCTAGGTTGTGTGGCAGGAATTGTGTGTCCTGAAATGTGTGGGTTTTAGGTCTGCTATATCTTGACAGCTAGTGACGAAGTATTATTCATCCTCTCTCAGTCTGTAAATCTCTATTCACTTACTATGACACACTAATATTTTAAGTTTACTCATTCATCTGCATGCGAAATTAACTTCACAACAGACAAAATTGCTTCAGTTCATTGTAAATATAGGCTGACATGGATTTTGTTGAGAGGTTATCTGTGCTGTATCTGCAGAGGATGGCTGATAAATGGCGTGGACTTGGGATGCACTCATACTATGCTATCCGAACCATGCATGGGCTCATTTTTCGGTTCATTTGACAAGTGTGAGTGCTCCGAATCAGGCCCAGACACGTGGTTCAGTGGCCCCGAGCATGATTTGGTTGGGCTTTGGCACGGTTTGCTTGTAGTGTGAGTTTACCTTCAGCAAACCTCCTAATACATTTAGCACAATGGCATTTATGGTAATTTATTATGAGCATCAAAAGTTTTTCGACAAAATATTTGACTGCATGTCAATGCATCCTAAACGACTAAAACAATATAATTAAAGCAAACTCCACTGTGTTGAGCGAGAGCACTTCTCTTCCTGTTTAACTGAACAGTCGCATCATTGATGACCCAAGCATGCTCCGGTTTGGAGGCGAAATGCTGTGTAAGTGCAGGCTGTCATGGGAGAGGAGGGGGGATAATCGTTTTCGGCACAGTTCAAGGCAACTGTACCTTGTGTGAGTACGCCCTCAGTGTCTGTGTCCATCAGATCATTCAGACGCGCGCCCAGCTTGGTAAGTTTCACATTAAGATACATGGATAAACATTAAAGGGCCATGTCACCTCCACTTTCGGTTAAAGTCTACTTTAGAATTTTTTCAAAAGATGCATGATTAATGGGCTCGGAGCTCCGCAAGCATCGTGCAGGAGTGGGCGTGGCCAGCAGGGGAGAAGGGGAGCGAACAACTGTTCATGTCAGTTAACTCACAAATTGAGACAAACCGTGATGAGACGCATGAGTTTATAGTTTACAAAGTTAAAATGCAAAGAAATAAACAGTAATTTAATGCCCTGCTACATTTGTTATTCGTAATTTCATGTACAGACAACCACAATTTATATCATTATAAAGATAATCGTGTTTATATAAACACTATAAATGAGGACTTCTCCCTCAATCCCCGGGTCTCATCTAAATGCAGACTCAGTGGAGCAGGTCTCCTGACCTGTCTATTTTAACCATTAGTCCTGCTGGTAATCGGAGGATTTAGGCATACACAGCAGAACGGCGATGTGTCTGAATGTGAATAAACTCCTGATACAAGACAACATCTGCTATTCTCCAATTCTCGTGCTGCTCTCCCGACAAAAATGCTTGCATCACACACACACAGCTTTGCTGTATGATTGGCCCTGATAGGATCGCCGGGAAAAACATGCAACAAACCCCGTGGATCATGGAAACAAACACATACGAGCCTTCATAAACGGCTACTGCGTGCCACGGGTCCGTGTCTCACAGCTTGAGCTTGGCACTGTCTGGCAGGTCTGCGTCTGCCTTGCCTTCAGAAAGCACGTGCTGTCATGCTCTCATGAATAATTAAGCAGCCGGCTCTTCTCATAGGATAAGAAAACTCCGCTTTGAATAATAATGAGAAACCTGACGCGTCATCATTGCACTTGCGGTACTTCGCTACGTCGCTGATTTTGATCCCTCCCCAAAAATCATTTTAAACCCGGAAGCTGAAATTAGCTGACAAAAGCTCAAAATTATCCAGTTTTCCCCACAATTAAAGCTGACAGGTGCTAACATTGTCTTAACTGATGCTCAACACACACAAATCTGTTAATATATAAAAAAAAGTTATCCAGGGTGTCCTGAACCTTTAAGAGCAATACACTAGATGCTGCTACCTTTAGGAGTTAATTATGTGTGATTTAAATACCATAAAGTTTCTATGAAGGGACCAGAATATCATTGGGACTTTTCGGACGTCGGTCTGTAAACAGAATTATAGGAAGAGTTAACAAATACTCAAAATGCATGGGATCCAACCTTGATGTCCACTGAGGATGTAGGCTACACTCAATAGCATACTTTTCCACCATGTAGTGGGAAAAAAAGTGATGTATGTGTATACATAGTCTAACAATTATACTGTTCTCATCACTTTCATTCACTTGTTACTTTTTGATGCATTTGTCAAAAGTTCAAGTAAAATTAAGTGCTTTTAAATAACAAAAATAGTATTAGTTAAGGTTATAAAAACCATACGAAAAAAAGTTTTATTGTTACATTTAGCTAAGTTAGTATTGGTAATGTTTTATAGGTTTTTTTAATGTTTATTATTTATTTTTCATTTTTACAAGTAATTGTTGGTGACCATCAATTAACAATAATGCAGACAAAATTGTATTATGCATCAAAAAATCATGGCAACGCCATAATAATAGC